TATTACTTTATCTAGTGTTACCACCCTCAATTGAACGTTCTCATTTTTTCCCCAGTGTTTGCGACTGTTAGATACACATCATGTAATAGACTAGAAGAATCATCTTAAAACAGTATACCAGATGGGGCCCCGGTTGTTATGAAGTTAGTTAGATTTATAACCAATTTTATAAATACTTGTACTTGGTTCATTTTTGAAATCAATCTGAAATAGTATTATCTCTTATCTTCTTCCTCTTCTATTATGGTATCAGAGCTCATGCTCTAGATCGATCCAATAATGGTGTCATCTAACTCAGATTCTGTAACCTCCACAAATTCTTCTTCCATCGTTACTTTCGCACATCAACTTGCGATCAAGCTTGATGCTAATAATTTCATTTTTTGGAAGCATCATGTTGAATCAATCGTTTGTGCACACAAACTCCTTCGGTTCATCATCAAACCAGAAATTCCGAAGCAATTTGTCTCTAGTGCTGATGAAGAAGCTGGAAACGTGAATGAATTGTATATTACCTAGGAACAACAAGACCAAATGCTCTTCTCGTGGTTGCTCGCATCCTTGTCTGAATCGCTTCATGCACGAGTGATCCATTGCAGACATTCATATGAGCTCTGGAATGAGATCAATACGTTCTTCAGAGCAAGTATTGCTGTGAAGGCCAAACAGTTGAAATCGGAACTGTATACTACTGCGAAAGGTGATCGTACTATTTCTGAGTACGTTCTTCGGATCCAAACCATCGTTGATAATCTCCTCTCTATTGACGAACCGATAACCACTAAGGAACACATTAATGTGATTTTAGAAGGTTTACCGGAGGAATATGAATCCCTAGCATCATGTATTTCCTCTCGTAGCATTCTCGACCCTCCTACTTTGTCGGAAGTCGAATCCCTTTTGTCTGCCAAAGAGGTGCGATTGCAGAAACTTCGTGAATCGTCTCAGACGAATCTATTGTCTGCTTATGTAGCTCGTCTGGAGGTTACGTCCACAACTAATCAATCTGCCAGTGAAAATACTCCAGACAATGCTTCGGTTCAACTTGCTCAGTTTAACAACAATGACAACCCTAACTCTTATCGAGGAAGAGGTCGTGGAGGTTTCAACCGAGGTAGAGGAGGAAGATTTGGAGGTCGCTATTCAGTCACATGTCAAGTTTGTGGAAAACCAGGCCACCATGCATTGATATGCTATCACCGCTATAATCCAGCCTACACTCCCTCAAATACCTATAGCCAACATTCTACTTTTCCTAATCCTAATCCTCAACCACCATATCCTAATACCTTTCCACAAAGATCTAATTATCCTCGGTCACAGTTTCCTCAGCCACAATTCAACTGGGATCAGATATCATCTTACCATACTTCACCATCTCCTACACAACACCAATATCAACCCACTGCTACTCATCAACAACATCAACCTACTGCCAACACTTCTATTCTTGGGCCTCATCCACAAACTTGGTTTCCTGACTCAGGAGCCACTCACCATGTCACTGCAGATCCCCTTAACCTGCAGCATAGTGAGCCTATTACTACAACTGATAAACTCTTTATGGGCAATGGTCAAGGTTTGGACATCAAGTCTATTGGTTTTACTTCCTTTCCTTCCCCATATCAGTCCTCTATTTCTCTTTCTCTCAGAAATATTCTACATGTGCTTGCAATAACCAAAAATCTGATCAGTGTTAGTCAGTTTGCTAAGGATAACAATGTCTATTTTGAATTTTATCCTTATGATTGCTTTGTGAAATCTCAGGGTTCTAAGCAAATCCAGGAATTCTGGGAGAATATGGTCTGTATAGATTCAAATCCTTTCCTGTTGTTGGTTCACATCAAAGTCCTATATCTACTAGCCAATCTTCTATGTTCTCTTCATACTGTTCCAAGTCTAATGTTTTGTTATCTACTTGTAATAATGCCAAATCCTGTAGTCCTATTTCAACTTGTAATCTTTGGCACCTTAGGCTTGGTCATCCTCACTTTGAGGCTCTGAAACTTGTTCTTCAACAATGTAATGTTTCAAACATCAATAAAAAAGAAATTGACTTTTGTTCTGCGTGTTACATGGGTAAGGCACATAAGTTACCTTCCTATTCTTCCACCACTGAATATAACCATCCTTTTGAGTTAGTGTTTACAGACCTATGGGGACCAGCCCCCATTTCCTCCTTTGATGGATACTACTACTACATAGCATTCATTGATGCATATACTAAATACACTTGGATCTATTTTCTCAAACGAAAATCAGATGCTCTTACAGCCTTTAATAACTTTTCTCAATATGTTCTGAACCAGTTTTCTACCTCAATAAAGTCCATTCAATCTGACTGGGGTGGTGAATTTTTAGGTCTTTCACTAAACTCCTCACTGAAAAAGGCATTATACACAGAGTTATTTGTCCTCATACACACCATCAAAATGGTGTTGTAGAAAGAAAACATCGACCATTGTTGAAAAGGGTCTTTCTCTTCTGTCCCACGCCTCCTTGCCTCTTAAATTCTGGGATGTAGCTTTTGCTACATCTGTTCATCTGATAAATAGAACACCATCCAAGTCAATCTCTAATTCCAGTCCATACTTCAAACTGCATAAATCTGTTCCAGATTATACCTTTCTCAAGGTTTTTGGTTGTGCTTGCTACCCTTTCACCAGACCCTATCATAAACACAAACTGGACTTTCACACTGAAGAGTGTGTTTTCATGGGCTATTCACCAAGTCACAAAGGCTATAAATACTTATCATCCTCAGGGAAAATTTACATCTCCAGAGATGTTATTTTTCAAGAAACCAAATTTCCTTATCCTACCTTGTTCAAACCTACTTCATGTGCCTCTTCTTCTAACCTCCATCTGGATCATCCTTCTGTACCTATTAAGTTCAGACCTTCATCCACCCTCCCAGCACCCCTGTCTCAAGTGCTGACTCTGTATCTTCTCAAAACCACCCTCCAAACACATCTCATGAACACCATCCATCTCTCTCTAATAATACTCAAAGTCAATCTTCTTCTCATGAATCACAATCCTCATCTCATGAACACCCTCCCAACACATCTCATGAATCACACTCCTCACCTAGTCCTCATTCTTCTTCATCTGATTCTTTTCACCAAACTACTCCACCTCCTTCAGTTCCTATCATCAATAATCATCCCATGAGGACAAGGGCAAAGTCAGGCATAGTAAAACCAAGACTTCATCCTACCTTACTGTTGGCTCATATTGAGCCTATATCAGTTAAACAGGCTCTCTCTTCTCCACAGTAGCTTGAAGCCATGAAGACTGAATATAATGCTTTGATTGCTAATAAAACCTGGACTCTTGTTTCTCTTCCTCCAGATAAGCATGCTATTGGATGCAAGTGGATTTACAGAGTCAAAGAGAACCCTGATGGTTCTCTAAACAAGTTCAAAGCCAGATTGGTGGCTAAAGGCTTTCATCAAAAGTTTGGTTTTGATTTTGGGGAAACATTTTCTCCAGCTGTGAAGCCTATCACTATCAGAATCTTGCTTACCATTGCTATTTCACACAATTGGTCCAACTAGCAGTTAGATGTTAACAATGCTTTCTTGAATGGTGAACTAGATGAGGAAGTGTATATGCTTCAGCCTCCAGGTTTTGAAGTTCAAGACACATCTCTGGTTTGTAAACTTCACAACTCACTATATGGCTTAAAGCAAGCTCCTAGAGCTTGGTTTCAAAAACTAACCTCAGTTCTTTATGCTGCTGGTTTTAAACAAAGCAAATCTGATCCTTCCCTACTCATCTATCTATCCTCTACAGTCCAAATTTACATTCTTATCTATGTTGATGATATTTTGGTCACTGGGAACAATTCAGCAGCCATAACTCAACTCATTCACAAACTCCATTCCTCATTTTCTCTAAAACACTTGGGAGAGCTTGATTTCTTTCTTGGAATAGAGGCACACAAGCTCCCAGATGGCAGTCTTCACCTATCACAGGCTAAGTACATCAGAGATGTTCTAAATCAAGCTGGCATGCTTGAATCTAAGGGAGTTATGACACCTATGGTGAGCACTTGCAAACTGCAGAAACAAGGCAGTGATTACTACTCTAATCCTTCCCAGTATAGATCCATTGTTGGAATGTTACAGTATGCAACTTTGACTAGGCCAGATATCTGCTATGGTGTCAACAAAGTGTGCCAATTCATGGCAGAACCACTGCAGGAGCACTGGAATGCAGTGAAACACATTCTCAGATATCTTTCTGGAAGTGTAAATCATGGAATTGTTATCAAACCTATTTCCTTGTCTTCTATACCTCTACCAATATCAGCCTACTGTGATGCTGATTGGGCATCTGATCTCAATGACAGAAAGTCTACATCTGGCTCATGCATACTTCTTGGAACCAACATTATTTCCTGGTGGTCAAGAAAACAACTTAGGGTTGCAAGATCCTCAAGAGAAGCAGAGTATAGGAGTCTGGCAGACACCACTCCAGAACTCTTATGGATTCAATTTCTATCAAAAGAACTTCAAGTCCCCTTTTCTACTCCCAGAGTATACTGTGACAACCTCAGTGCTGTTCAACTGGCTCACAATCCTATTTTGCATTCCATGATCAAACACATGAAAAATGATCTTTTCTTTGTCAGAGAACAAGTTCTGCTCAAGCAACTTCAAGTTTATCATATTCCCTCTCTTCATCAGATTGCAGACATACTGACCAAGCCACTCTCTAGTTCCAGATTTCTTGATTTGAAAACAAAACTTAGTGTGATTGAGTTGTCAAACCAATCACCCTAACTTTGAGGGGGGGATGTTAGATACACATCATGTAATAGACTAGAAGAATCATCTTAAAACAGTATACCAGATGGGGGGCCGGTTGTTATGAAGTTAGTTAGATTTATAACTAATTGTATAAATACTTGTACTTGGTTCATTTTTGAAATTAATCTGAAATAGTATTCTCTTATCTTCTTCCTCTTCTATTAGCGACCATGCCTACTTGAGACCGATCCGAAGCAAGTTCAAGTGGCTCAACAAATTGAAGAACAAATGTCTTGTATCAAGAATAATGCCTCTTTCAAACCTATATTAGGAGATAGAGAGCCTGTTGCTATGATGAGGTTCTTTCTCTATAATTCACTAGTGATGTCTAATTTGTTATGTGATGAACTATTGATCATCTCTCTCAAATGAGTGACATATTTAATTTATGATCAACTTGGCATGGCATTGTGCAACAGATGACATTGGATTTATTGACCTTTTGCATTTGTATATTTGATATGCTATTCTTGAATCACAAAAAGAGATTGGGCCTTCTTAACTGTTATTTTACATGTGAGCACATCTATACTACATGGACTCCTATCATATGTCATGTCCACATGCTTGAACCTAATCTAAATGGTGAAGCTTTATTTTTCGGTGAAGCTTTATCAAATTATTTTTATTCTAAGGAAAGCTTATTTCTGATACTTGAGCTTGAAGTATGGGCATTTTTTGACAAGTTACGTTTTCTCATCGTTGCTACAAGAACACCATTCAAGCTTTAGCTCTGCTTAAAAGTTAATCAGTCAATTGTTCATGAATGTTGATATTTGTAGCATTGAGATTCCAATTTTTTTTCTAGGACGGTATTGATAATTTTGATCACTTCTTGGAGTGGAAAAGATGTGATTGGGGATCTGCCTGAACCAATGAATACGGATGAGTTGTGTGACAGTGATACTGGTTGTGAATCTACATCTCCTGACAACGGCTGTGATAGTGAATATACGACATCTCTTGACAGTGGCAGTGATAGTGAATCTACGACATCTCTTGACAGTTGTTCCGAGGTAAAGTATTACAAAATCTTCTAATTGCTCTTCCCTTAAAAATTTATTTTTTCCATCAATGGAACACATGAGACGACTCAATAGGGTCCATTTAAATCATATGTGCCAATTCTGTCGTTTGACTCCTTGTTGTGGGCCAATGTAACTTATTTAATTTTTTTGACAGAGTGATTTATTGAATTATTGATGAAGAATCTGGAACTGTAATTTTTAATGAATATGTTAAATACGTATCATGCTGTATCTTTGGTGAATTATGTGTGGTTGCCTAACTTTTTAATTTTTTTAGCTCTTAGTATTCAAGTCGGGGAATGGTGAAGCAGATATGATTCCTCTACTTGTTTATGTGAGTACTTCTTTTGTTATTCTTACTTGCTTGCTTTTTTTCCCATCATTTGCAATGGAGCCAAAGATTCATTTTTTTTTGCTTGAAAATATGATGGAATAAAGCAAAATGACTCACTAAACTGTCTGTGCGCTTCTTTGTTATGAAGCAGCAGTCAGCCCATGCAATTTTGGACGTGATTTTCTCTATGGGTCATCCAGAAACAGTCTCTCCCTGCTTTAGTACAGGGGTAAGACTGCGTACATCCGACCCCCCTTACCCCACCGTAGGTGGGAGCCTTTGCGGCACTAGGGTAAATGAAAATGATGACTTGCTTGCTTTATTTTTTCATATTTATTTATATATAACTATATAAGTATTACATTTTAATTAATTGAATTGTTTAGTTATTTATTTATTTATTTATTCATTTATTTACTTATGTTGGTACTTACGTGCTTACGTTCGTGCGTACTTGCGTATTTATTTATTTATTTATTTATTTATTATTCATTTATTCATATTCATTTATTCACTTATTCACCTATTCATCTATTTATTTATTTATTTATTTATTTGTTTATTTATTTATTTATTTATTTATTTTTATCCATCCATCCATCCATCCATCAAGTTTACACATTTATACATTTGTGCAGGGTCCCTCCTTCAAGTTTTTCATTGATAAAGTATTGAAAGATGAGGCAGCTGTTCAACTTTTAAATGAGTTTCTTGGTACACTTTTTGTCAATTCAGAACACACTTGTAGTAATCCTGCATTGGATCATTTTGACAAAGTAAAAAAGGTTTGGGGACACCGTGACTTTCTTAGAGTTCTTTTAAAGGTATGAATATTTATGGATTTCATTTTTACTTGGTGCACCAACTATAGCTGTAACTTAGGCATCTTTCTTTCCTTACCACATTCATCTTTTCTTTTACGGGAGGAGGATGCCCCCTATCCAATGGAGACATGTAAGATTTTAGCTAGCCACAAAATGACCGAATTCATTGTACCTAAAATTACCTTGGGTGTGACTAAAACTCCATGAGTTTCCTCATCTATGACCTAACTAGTTTTATTCCCAAAATAATATTTTTATTTCTAATATTTAATTAATTTCGTAATTAATGAATAAATAAATAAATTTCATGGACTAATATACCCTTTAGAATATGTCTATAAAACCCTAATCTTCCACCCATTTTCCCTAATCCTAAGCGTTGCACACCCGCCTCCCACAACCGCTGCACGATCGTCTGCCGCCACCATCTAGCCGCGTGGCCGCCTGCTCGCCGCTCAGGAGTCACGCACGATGGTTGGTTCGGAGGTTGCCGGCGGCCAGACACCTGTTCAGAGATGGACGGAGAACCATGTGCGCTGCCGCCCATCTCAAGATCTGTGCGCTGCCGCCGCCCCAAGTTTTGTGCGCCGCCGCTGCCCCAAGCTCTGTGCGCCGCCCATCGTCCCCAACCAGTCGCCGCCGTCTAACTCCATAGCAGCACTTCAACGCGCCGCTTCCATCTAAACTCACGACTGTACGTCCGCCTCCATGGGTGAAATAGATGAATGCTCCAATTCGCCGCCTCCATCTTTTTAGTAGATGAACCATCGAATCAAAAAATAACTAGGTTTGGCTTTTTTGAAATGTGTGCAGACTGGATCCACTACTTTTGGATGTGAGGCTAGCTTAATTAGGCCCACCATCTCATTTTTGCTTTTCTTTTTTAAAATTTGGAGATTTTAAAATTAGGGTTTTGGAGCATTAAATATGTGCAGTGAATATGCGCAATGAACATCATAGTAGATATTATTGAGTATGAAAATATGTGTGTTGTACATAGCAGTGAATGAATACATTAAAAAAAGTTTATTGTGCAGTGATTATGACCGATAGTGCAGTAACATAGAGTATTAAGGGTGTTGAATATGGACTACAAACATGGCAATAAATAGTGTTGTATACGGGCAGTAAATGAATGCATTGATGGCAAATGCAGTGATTATGATCATTAGTTCAGTAACACAGAGCAGTAATGCCACCATGAAATGCAATATATTTAATTAGAGGTAAATTAACAATTATTTAATCTAAAAAAACAAAAAACAAAATCAAAAAATAAATTCCTCAAGTGAATGAGAAGAGAATTAATTTTGGCGGAAATGCAGTGATTATTGGATGTGCAGTAAAATCATTCATTAATGTTGTGCATTAACGGCAATATAAAGTGCATTAATTTTAATCGGAAGAAATTAGTGCAAAATGAACATATTTGAAATAAGGGTATTTTCGTCATTCAACCTTTATATATAAATGAAATTTATTTATTTTTTAGACTTTTGGTCATACAAAAGTCGAAAAACTAGTTAGGTCATAGATTGGCCGTGGGAAACTCATTGAGTTTTAGTAATATGCTAAGAAATTTGTTATTGTTCAATATACGAAACCTGCAAGTATGATGAGGTTCTTTCTGCTCCATACGTAGATGAATTTGCATGACTATGAATTTGATGATGATATGCGTAATTTAAGCAACTATGTGGCTTTTTTATATCTCATCTGCTTCATATTTCATCAATTATTCAAGGAGTGCCTTGAGTATTATAATAGGATTCTGGGCTAATGAAGTTGCACTTCTTCCATTGGTTTATACAATGGGTGGTCGTGCTTTCGGAGTAAAAAAAGTCATCGGAGATGCCCTTCCTAGTTTTGGGAAGGTAGTCTCCTAAGTATCATTTATGCTGATAATTTCCGAAAGCTTTAAAAATTCCCTTTCTATCATTTTCTCTATCTTACCAGTTGAAGTTAAATATTCGTTGTCTTACTCAAGTATATCCATGATTTCTACTTCCATAGTTGCCATGCGGTGATAAAACCCCCTCGCTATGGAAAGTCCTGGCAATGACCATGTATGAGGCGACGCCATATTGGTGCCATCTGTTGGGTGTGTTTCGGAAAATAAAGAAAATTAATTAAAATAAATTAATTAAATAAAATGACTAGAGAAAAAACAAGAAAGGAGATGAAGCAGAATTAGCCAAAGCTCGTGCTACGCACGATTTCCTTAAAACGTATTTGTTGCCTCCCACGGTGCTAGGAGCGTTGCAACAATCGTTTCCCAGGATACGAAGACTACGAACTAGTGTTTGAGAACACAAACAAGAGTTCCAGCGAACGAGAACCGAGTATGAACACAGAGGAATTTTTGGGAATAGCTGGAAGAGTTTTTAGTTCAAGAAAACGTGAGGAAAGTGTTGTGCGTTGTCAAACCGTGTGTTTGTTGCAAAGCACCTGCCAGCTATTTATAGGAGGATTTGTTGTGTGTTAAATGGGGTGTTAATGGACCTGAACGTTGGACATCAATGACCAGTCCGTTGGGCATTGAATCGTCCATAAACTGTCCATTTAACGCAGGTCGCCCGCGCACACGAGTCGCGGTTTTTCTTCTCCGTTTCGGGATTTGATCGGCACCCCCCCCCCCCTGCGCGTAAGAGAGAGCCTTTCCCTTTAGGAATCTTAACTCCTTAAAAGAGGCTTCCCTTTATAAGGGGGTGAAAATCCCTTGAGTTTTTCGGTGTGGGATAAAACACACTAGAAACTCATCATTTTTCCCAGTTTTTCCATTTCAACGAGTGAACTTCGAGAATCAATTTCTCATTCACCCGTTATCCGTTTTGAGCGTACCATATATCGAAACCACTTTGACCCGACCCAAATCGGAAGTGGACCCCACTCAAATAATTGCCCCAAAATGACCATTTAATGCAATTTTAACACATTTTTCCAACAATCCCCCACATGAATGAAAATTGATTTTCGAGACTTAAAAGACACGAAGATAGGAGGAGACGTTGTGTTCACCGGATGATCCTTGCATACGGAGAGGTAGGTTTTATCCTTTGAACCTTCCGTTGTAAAGACACGTTTATTTACTGGCTGTCTAGTAGACTCGATGTCCTTGAACTATACTGCCGTCGTGTAAACATTGACTTATCTTTACACAAGAACCTTCCAACTTTGTTCCGTTCTCATGGGTGTGCCCGTTTTGGCCATGGGTCACCGTCCGGGTTCTGCAAGAGTTTCTAAAGAACTGAGCCTTTACAGTTCTCCTTTGAAGCGGCCCTCTTCTCTCTCACATAGGTGATTCTTTCACGAGTATCCCGCATACTCTTCCAATGTTATCGAGTAGATCAACATTTTAGAATCATTAAAGCAAACATTTTTGCTAACCTCGTGCGGGAGTCACTGTTTTAACGGGGAGTGGGTAGGAGTCCGGGACCCCCACAGTGACCATCCTTCGCTCTATAATTTAGTTGTCCCTTTTGAACCTAGGACCAACTAGGTTGGGTATCCACTATAGAACTTTTCAATTCACGGGCTTTAGTCCCATTCCTCGTGACAACTTCTCCAACAATTCTCTATCCAATGCCTTGGTTAGCGGATCCACTATGTTATCCTTTGACTTCACGTAGTCAACAGTGATAACATCCATTGTGAGGAGTTGTTTAATGGTGTTATGTCTACGACGAACGTGTCTAGACTTACCATTGTAGAGATTGCTCTGTGCCCTTCCAATTGCCGCTTGACAATCGCAGTGTATGCATATTGGAGGGACAGGCTTCTCCCAACTTGGAATATCCTCGAGAAAATGGCGTAGCCATTCAGCCTCTTCAGTGCACTTATCCAAGGCTATTAGCTCAGATTCCATCGTGGATCTAGCTATTAACGTTTGTTTCAAGGATTTCCATGACACGGCTGCACCTCCCAAAGTGAAAACATATCCACTTGTGGACTTAGAGTCCTTTATGTCGGATATCCAACTAGTGTCGCTATACCCTTCAAGTACAGCTGGATATCTTCCATAGTGCAGTCCAAGGTTTTGGGTTTTACGTAAATACCTCAAAACCCGTATTATTGCCTTCCAGTGTTTATCACCGGGGTTGCTAGTATATCTACTTAGCTTACTGACCACAAAGGCAA